CGTCATGTTTATATAGTGCTTTATACAAAAGATTGATTTAAAGCAAGCAGCTTTTACAGTATTTACCATGAAAAAAGTGTAGCTTTCCGTTAGAATTACAACTTGATTTCATCTCCGTACCCACCAGATTTGTTATGTGACGGCATTAATTAAAGTTTCTTAAGGGTCAAGACATAGACTGAATAAAAACATGGATGTAGTGTTCGTGACGTCACCCGTAGGTTTCTGAAGAGCATTTTTGAAGCCCAAAGTGGGCAGCACCAGCCGTCTCCATCTTGGCAGAGCGTCACTGCGCATCACTCTCGGATAATCGAAAATAGACAAAGAGGCGGGACGTGGGTGGAGCTGGTTGCTGAAACCACGCCCGCCTACCTCGACGGAAGTGACAGCAGCGGGAATCCACCTGTCACTCAAGTGGCCACGCCCTTAATTAGGCAGAACTTTAAGGCCTAATATAATTTAAATGGATGAGTAATAAAAAAAAATCACCCCCCTCACTGTTTTAAATTAAAACTGGGCAAAAGTAGCTATATAGACCAAAACCACTTTTTGTACCAGGCTGTAAACATATTTTTTTCTACTGTAATGTTGGGCATTTTAACATGGGGCATCTATCGGATTGACTCCGTTTGGAGCCGGTCTCTAGCGGCCAGTCGATGAATTGCAGTTAAAGTCACTTCCGTGTTGGTTTCAAGAGAGAGACCGGACGGTTGCCGCTTGGGTCAAGATCAAGTTATCTGCATCTCTTGCGCTCCATCAAGCCATTCCCATAATAGCTGTCACCACTCAAATTAATGCACGACTAATTTTTAAATGATTATTATTTTAAATTATTGTCCCCGGATTAGTAGGGAACTCTTGTAATAAAGTAGCCGTGGCTGGGACAGATTTTAAATATCAATTCCACTTAAAAAGATGCAATCTAATCCTGTTTACATGAAATAAGCCTGCTCCCGAGCAGGTTTAAGCTTACAGACCTGTTGCTATGACAACAAGTCCAGGATGAGCTTTGAAGAACCAAATAATCCAAGATCATGCCAAAACTGAGATAGTGACATATGAAGAACGGGCCCCATAAGACAAATTCCTTGTGTGTGTAAACACACTTGGCAATAAAGTGAAGTGACGTGTAGCGACCCATACTCAGAATTTGTGCTCTGCATTTAACCCATCCAAGTGCACACACATACACAGTACACTGCAAAAACAGATGTGTCAAAAACAGCACACATGGTTGTGTTGACAGCATTCTGACACATGTTGTGTAGGATTTTAACACACAATGTGTAATTAAAAAAAATAAAGTCTTTGGACAGATTGACACAATAAATGTGTTATCTCCTGGGCCGGCAGCTTGTGTTTATGGAAATAAATACAATACATATATTTCATATGGTAGCACATAAAAAGCTCTAAAAATGACAAAAAATCATTAATAAAATCTCAATTTATTAAACTTAAAATATTAACGGCTATTTTTTTTGTCGGCCAATCACGTCGTGCCTCTGGCCTTTTAAACTGCGGCGGATATTAACACATTAATTAGCAGTTTCTGATAATTTTCAGTTACACACAAATGTGTTTAAATGACACGTTGTGTGTTAAATTACATTACACAGTAGATGTGTGATCCATCTTAACACACAAATTGTGTTAGATTTGACACAACATGTGTTGTCCCTGAGCACACTCACCACATGTGTTAAAATTCTGCACAACATGTGTCATTTTTAACACATCCCTTTTTGCAGTGTAGTGAACACACACCCGGAGCAGTGGGCTTTCTGATTCTGATTTTATGTTGTAAAGCAGCTCTCCGATGTGGACCTAGGTAATGATAAAATCTTTTTATTAGTAAATGCAAAAAAAAAAATCCTATTACTACGTGATACTTTGGTTTTCATATATTGAAGCTTGATCGAGCTCAGGACTGTTTTGATTATTATAAATCTATAAGGTGTTTTAAGAGAGCTAATTTGGGAATAAAATAAGTTATTCAAAAATAAAATGTCTTATCACTTACCTTTATTTTATTCAATATCCATATGACTTGCAAATGGAGATGTTAGGCAGAATGATGCATCAGCCTGTCAGTTACTTTTTAATATAGTTAATTAAATACTGAATGTAAATGTCTCTCTGTCTGTCATCTCATTTTGTGTGCCAAATATATCAATTTGTATTGTAAAACAAAATTGTATAATATTTGTAATTGTACAATAGTTATTTTATTGTTTGACAAAAGCTGAAGTGATTTTCATATTTTATTTATTATTTAGAATATGTATAACTCAATATTTTAACTAATTGTAAAAGCTGAATAATCGACCAAATCCTACTGATTAATCTGTGAAATAATTGACAATTAGTCGATTAATCGTAATGATTATCAATGATCAAAATTATTGTTGTAGCAGCCCTAGCCTCATCCACCTGCAGAGTGCTCTAATAATGCTACTCTGATATGGCTGCATCAAGGAAATCTGCACTTAGCTTGACACCATGCTCTGCACAGTCATTCATGACAAAATGCTGGTGGCAGTGCGCAGTTGTGGCTTAATGGTTAGAGAGCCAGACAGACCCAAAGGTCACGCCTTCGAGTCTCAGTACCGGCAGGAAATGTAGGTAGGTGGAGTGAATAAACCGCGCTCTCTTCCACCTTCAATACCCAAAACTGAAGTGCTCACAGCAAAAATGGCTGCCCACTGCTCTGGGTGTGTGGTCACCATAGCCGTGGGAACATATTTTATCTGGGGGGTGCTGGGGGTGGGGCTTGATGTTGCAGGGCGGGGCCATGGTGGGGGATTTTTGACAAAATCCTAATATTAAACAGCCCAAACTCAAAACAAAAATTAACATACAAATGAAGACAGAGTTATATGCGAACCAATATGAGCTTTTGTGATTTTAGTTCAAGAATTTTTTCTTTCATATTTGTTTCACTAATGTCCAGTTGATGGTTTATAATGTGGACATGTTTGACAGGAGGCTTTAAAACAATGTCATCTTCAAAACAGCCAATGACCCAGTGAACTTAATCTCCATATCCCATCATTTTGACTGGCAGTTACTCTGGAGTTATGAGCAATAGCTCATTTCACATAGCCAATAAAATTCTCCACCAGACAGATCCCATCAGCCTGGGCCGGGGACCAATAGTGTGTCACTGCAAACCAAATCAGACAAAGCACAAAAATTACTCCCTCATCCTCTGGGTCTAATTTGACTGCAGTGTATGCCAGCTCTGATCTGTGTGCAGTCTGTGGTGGGTCAGTGGTATCTGGCTCTACAGAACCCAGTTCAGCTCCTATGTTGTAATGTTTGCTCATCTGCGTGTTGTGGTCAAAAAAGGAATGGAAACTGTAAATGTTTGGTTGATTGTGGACAATATTACTACTGTTTTACACTGACTGATCATGTTTATGGACAGTTCATGAGCAGCTAAGAACAATATGAAACAATATGACTGTGCAGAAGCATTTCAGTATCAATTAAAATCATAAATTTAGCAACAACAAAAAAATTACTTTTTAATTGAATGTGCATTTTATAACTCTGTACTTTGTGTTATAACTTATATGACACTGAATTACAAAAAAAAAAGAAAAACTAGTAGACACTGGTGTGACGGTGTTAGTTTTTTGTAACCGCAGGGATCGACTGTTAATTTTATATCTTTTTTCTTGTCTGACTGCCATAGTTCATTATCTATATTTTTCGCATAAAAGCAATAGTGGATTTTCCTTTTTATTTTGCTGTTTGAGCAAATTATAATGCAAAAATAATATTTGCTCTATAGAAGTTTATTTTGCTTTAGTTTACTTGTGTTCCAAACTTAGAAATGTGAAAAGTGTCTATAGCAGAAATGACAAACATCTGTGATGACAAATATTCATGAGCAGAATAGAATAGCATACAACAAAACAATAAAGAATATAGTAGATAATAAATATAAAATAAAGACATTGTGAATGCTTTTGATTAGATGTTTGTCATAAGCCGAACAGAATAGAACACAAACTAAATAGGATAGAATTGGACTGAATTGAATAAAATACGTGGAAAAAAAATATGAGAAACACAAGCATTTAGGAGAAGAATGGAATAACTAATTAGAATGGAATAGAGGTCGACCGATATGGGGTTTTCTCTGGCTGATGCCGATATTTAGAAATCAAGGCAGTCAATGGCCGATATATGATGGTGATTTTTTGGGCCAATTTTCCTTACCCCCATCTCATAAAATCTGTTAATTTATACGAAATGATACAGAAAATCGCTTAAATTAAACATTTATTGAACAACACATGCCTCTCCAATCTGTGCACTTGTATAACATTAATAAAAAATAATGTATACATTAAATATTAAATACAAAAAAAAACGGGATCAAAAATCTAGACTTTGTCAAATAAACTTTTAAACAGACATATTTAATAAGTTAACATTAGGGCTTTACGATTAATCGAATGCGATTGTCATGCGCATCTTGTCAGTAAAGCCGGTTCTGTGATTAGTAGTAAATCTCGTGCTTTCAGATGGAGCAGCATTTACAACACAAAGCCGTAGTTCACTGACAAGCTACGCAAAATCGCGTTCATAATCACAGACGATTTAATCACGCGATTATGAAAACGAAGAAATCGTTCTGCGTTTATAAAAGCTGTTTGCCTAGCTTGTCAGTGAACTACGGCTCTGTGTAGTAAATGCTGCTCCATCTGAAAGCACGTGAATTGTTAACATTGGAGCTTATGTTTACGACGCAGGCTACTACAATAATTTAGCCACTGGGCTCGTTACCAGGTTTTGGTACCTGCGCCTACCTGTAGCCTAAACAACACCTGGTTGAAGGCTCGCTAACGATTCAGTTCCAAAAAGTTACTCGCATTCTCTCTCCAAATGTTATTCTCATTCTCTCCAAAAGTAGCATCATATTTAACCAATGAAATATATAACTCTAGATTAAGAATGAAGGATAAGAACTTAAGTCTTACCGTTTTCTTGGGAAGTTACCAGGTAGTTATCTTCAAAAAGTTAGCAGGCAGAGGGAGACATAACAGGGGGGGCTTTTACACTGGGCACATTTGCTGCGGTTCGAGCCCAGGCGGGATCGTTCCTAGTCCCCCCCGCAGCGTTGGTCTGTTTTCACACTAAACTTGATTCTATCGAACCCTGGTGTGTTTGCGTTTATCTTACGTCATCACAAACGTGCACAACGCCTAATAGAAAACAGAATGTGGGTCAGTGTGTTTTTTATTAATTTGGTGCTATTATGCACAGCAGAGTAAACATCATATGGGTGCAACCGAACTCAGACCACCTCCTTCAGGTAGTCTCGGGTTCAGCACGGCGCTCACCGGGGTTCGCCTGACAGTTTTCATATTAGCAATTTTTAATGCGAACCATGCCCCTTTTCGAACTAAACTGCTAGTGTGAAAGCCCCCAGGGTTATTCCAGTGGAATGGCAATCTGCTTGCCGCAAGAGGCAGCGTCACTTGTTCCACAACAACGCTTAGCTGCTCGCAGATGCGCCTGCCTATTAATCGGCCTAATTTGCAGCACAGTCGGCCGATGCCGATTAATTAAAAAATGCCAAAAATCGGCCCGATTAATCGGCCGGACGATCAATCGGTCGACCTCTAGAATAGAATAGAAAACATTACAAGAAACAAATGCTTTAGGGAATACATTAGCATATACATTTGCTCCCATATTTTTTAATTTAGAGATTATTTAAAGGTACTCAGTAAGTCAAAATTTCCAATGTTTAGTCACCACTGTAGAAATTTTAAATGTATTTCTCATAATTACTATTAATTTCAAAGTTTTGAATGGGGAGAAATTACTGAATGCACCTTTAATTCTGTGGATGCAGTGTAGTTTTGTGATGTTCTGTTCGTAAGAAGGTTTCTGGGCATCTTTACCTGTCTGAGTAAGAGCGCACCATTGTGATGCCTAGCACAAAGTACATCATGGCAGAGAAAAGGATCATGCCGAGGCCTAAGAGAATGGCTCTGTCTTCTCCAGCCTTTAGTGCTGTGACTGTCCTCCTCTTTTCCAAAACGTCATACTCGCGAATCTTCTGATAAATGGTCCTGCTTGAGTGATATAAAAATCACAAAACACGCAAAGGGAAGAAAAAGAAGTACATTAATGTAGGCATGGTGTGTGCAAAAAACAAGATATTGCTTCAAGAATCATTTCAACAGTCCTTATCACATAAAAAAGGCTTGATGCAAGTGTTGGTTGATATAATTTTTAGATTATTATTGTTGTTGCTGTTGTAAATGTATCAGTCACTGTTGGATATTTATTTGTGCATGTCCATTTCCTACATTTTTTTATTTTATATTACTTTTTGAGTCATTCAATGTTCACTTTCATTTTAAAATACACTACTAATTTAATAACACTGTTAAAGTAAATATCCTTTATTCTGGTTATTATAATGTTTCACTTGTAGCATTTTAAAGAATTGATCTTAGTTTAGCGTAGAAGTTTTATTTTGGCCATTTATCGGTTATCGGCTGTAACATGAAAGAATTTAATATCTGCACCTTTTTAATGTGTAATGTATTTTTATTTTTGTTTATATAATTATTTTTAATTTAATTATAATTTTTTAAAATGTATAACTATTTTTACAATTATTTTATAACCATATTTTTTAAATCTGTATTTAAAATGCCTCCTTATTGAGACCCTAGAAAATTAAAGTTTAGCATAGTGCTGTCACTGGTGTTTTAGTTAGTTAAAGTCATTGTATTTTACCTTCTCTCACTTCCTGATCCTTGAGTTCCTTTGCTTCCGGCCCACAGAAACATTCTCCCAGCTATTCCAGTGTGTGCGGCTCTCTCTGAAGCATTCACAAAAGACTGCTGGGACGACCTGACAGGAAAAACACACTTAGTCGACCATGTGCCTCCCTTCCACACAGGTTCGCCTACGAACTGTTCCCAATATGAAAAGAGAAATGCACCTTTTTTATAATATCACCTAAAAGTAACAGACTTCAGAGAAGGTGAAATTTTACAACCACAGTATTAGAAAAATGACTCCATCGTTGTGGGCAAACACAGTAAAGTCCAAAGAGAGAATCCACCAATCTTCAAATAGAGAAAAAGAAAGTTTCTATAATCCTCAGCAGTGAACGAAGTTCACGTGAGTGAAGTCCGTCTCACGTGGTTGGAACCAGTTCTTCATAAATACTACTCACACCAGGCACTGAACTAAGCATCTGCTCCTTCATTTCCTGCCTGTTGGTTTGTTATTGACTATTCATGGGCTGGCGAGTGGCAGGGTGGAAAATAATAATGAGAATAGTGAGCAAAGAGAGGAGGACCATTCACGGCATTGATCCCTTTCTCCAGCCCCGGCGGAGAGAGTGAGTGAGAGAGGAAAGAGAGAGGGAGCACCGTTCAAAGCCTCCTCCTCCCTTGCACCCTGTTGCTGATTGGTGTTGATGGAGAGTCCTGTAGCATCAAGGTGACACAGGTGTTTTGGGCCACATGCTTACGAATGACTGACTGCACACTCCTTCCATCAGATGCTATCCATTCCAGGCTTATCACCCAGCATGTTCTTTTCACAGAGTCTACCATGTGCTTAAATGTCTGATACAAAGAACTGAGCTTGTTAATAGAAAAACTCATATTATAATTCAGCACTTAGTGGGTTATAGGGCTGAAACAATTAATCGACATTGTCGACAATAAAAAAAATTGTTAACAAATATTTTTGTTGTCGAATAGTCATTTGATCTCATGAACTAATGTAAGAGGCTGCAATAATAACACGTTTTGACCGGTGTGGCACTGTAGCACAAGACTGTAATTCATCCCTTCTGGATGCAGTTCAGAAGAAGACATACAATACACGGCTTTGGAGTGCAAGTGCAGCCGAACCAGACGCTGCAGAGAGCGCGTTTACTGAGAGTTTAGATGAATATGTAAATATGTGCTGTGCACATTCCTCTCAATAACAAAATAAACGCACAACAAAGTGCGTTGAGAAAACAGCAGTTAAGAAAACATCTGATCATAGAGAGCTCTGCAATTCGGCTCTCCAGTCACGTCACGTTTAGTTATATTGCACCAATATACAATAGATTGATAACGCAAGCAGCTTTACAGTATTTAACATGAAAAAAAAAAACAGTGCCAGTGTCGCTTTCAGTTAGAATTACAATTAGATTTTTAGTTATTAAGCAGCTCAGGGCATGGTTGTCATAGCAAACTCCAAGTTTGATCTAAATATGATAAAGCGTGGAGAAATAGCCTCATGTCCACTTTGGCGAGCTCTTCGTCAAATTCATTTGTGCGTTATTCGAGAAAGGTTGGGTCTATCAAAAAGCTTTTGATAGATTTTTGCCAAGACTGTCTGAAGTTGGTTTGTGTCAATTTTGGTGAAAATTAGACAAAACATCTAGGGCGAGTTTGAAAAGTAAGTTTTTAACATGATATCAAAATTTTATGAAATGTTTGATTGACAGCAGTGGTTCTTGAGGCAAAGTTGTTCAGAATGAGGAAATCTAACATATGATATGAATACTGTGTGTATGTATGAAACATTGCATGATATGAGACGTAAAACACTATAGCGCCACCTGGTGGTCGATTTCTTTCAAAATTCTCACAGACTTCTAAGGCCATGAGTCAAAGAGCTACACCAAGTTTTGCTCCAAACGACATCCGTTAACCATGTCTAAAGGGTGCTCAAGTTTGATTGGCTGATGGTGGCCATGTTTTTCAAGATACACCAGTGCCCTCATAGAATACTAAGTGCATGACACCCCTGATTTAGACTACTGTGTTTTATACAAATATCTAGAAACCATATTTTTACCATAGTATTGAAGTGCTATATGAGTGGTTTTAACTGTGGTTATCATGATCTGTGGGAGACCAATGGTTAATTTTAATAAAACTCAAACAGTCAGAATATTTCAAATTTAACATAAAAAAGTAGGTTGTTACAATTTTTACAGATGTTACTGTTTTTGATAATTAACATAAACTTACATCTGCATCCTTACTCAAGCTACTACTACTACTGTCGACTCAAGCTACTGTCAACTGTGCATTTCTGAGACAAAACAACAACAACAATATTATTAACATTGCAGCCTGCACTGCAAACTGTGCTGAAGATGCGTGTCATCAAAGTCAGGCAACACAAACCTGTTTCATGATTTGAGACAATATTGTTCATTAGAACATGCAGAAACTAAGAAATTACTTTTTCTATTAAAGGTGACATATTATGCCCCTTTTTACAATATGTAATATAAGTCTCTGGTGTCCCCAGAATGTGTCTGTGAAGTTTCAGCTCAAAATACAGAAAGCGGCTGTCACAGCATGTGAGTACTAAACTAAGTTCATTCACACACAAGTTTACGTTAAAAACACACGAGTTACAAAAACAGTCGGTTATGTCTGTGAAGGTAAACAGCTGGGAAATAAATCGCATGTTTATTTTAGATCTGTGTGGCAGCAGCAATATACATTAAATAAATCAATAAATCAACTGCTCTCTTGTCTCCTCTGAGGCTGGGACTGTAAACAGTGTTCTGTGCTCGTCTGTGCAGCCAAAGACAGAACAGTTAGCATGTTTTGCTCAGACTTTCTCCATGGCATTAGAACTGGTACACCGTTGTCGCTTGCGAAATCAGAATGACGGCGCCGTGGGTGGAAGTTTACAAATTAAGGGGGGGTAATATTATAATGAGATCCCTTTGCCACGTCACCAAGGAAGCAAAATCAGACGCTCGTTTTCTCAGACGCTTGCAGAAAAAGGCTTCCCAAAACGAAGTTACTGGGTAAATCTTTTTCACGTTTCCTTGGTTGGTAGATGCACTGGGGACCTGATTATAGCACTTAAAACCTGGAAAAGTCAGATTTTCATGATATGTCACCTTTAAGATATTTATTTTAAGGAAAATAACTGGAAAAGTGTAAAAAAAATAAAAAAGTGAATTGTTTGTCATTTTCTGACCATAAAGAGTAGTTTAAAACCACAATTAACAGTCTGCTTTCTACAACTTTCACTTAGGAGCAACAATCTGCCTTTACACTTGAAAAGAAATAAAGATTTGAATTGTATTGTGATAATTATCAATATCGACTGATATGAAATATTTTATTGTGACAATTGTTTTGGCCATATTGCCCAGCCCTGCTTTGTAGTACTATGGTACACTTTGTTATGTTTATATTAGTGCTCAGCTTGACTGACTAAGCAATTTCCACTCTTTTTCCGACCCACAAAGGTGCACAGCAACATTTTATCTAAAATGAAGGTCTGAAATGCAACAGTGAGCAAATCTCTGCCCCGCAGTGGAGAGCTGTAAATGTCAGTGATGGGAATATGCCACATATCATATTTGTGTGTATGTGTACTGACTCTCTTGCCTATGCTGATTGGGGTAGTTAGGGGCGATGAACTAGATATGAGGCAGAGGCAGACAGGAAGCACTGACCCAAAGAAACCCATTGTCCCCACTGCACCCAATAAACACCTGCCAAAACTGCCAGGGCATAATAAAGAACCACATCCAGTGTTTTTAATATAGAATGGCTGTCTTTAAAAAGCTTTGTATGGCCTGGACAGTTGTTGGTATTTGCTCTTCTGATCACCTTAGTAGATAACGCCTTGCAGGGGCCTTTTTTGTAGCAAAAAAAAAAACCACAGACATCTGGCGTTCACCCAAAACAGTTGGAATGTTCATCCAATGTGGCTGCGCATAATGGGATTTACTAAACCCATATTGTCACTGCAGTAATTTATGAGCCATTGTTGATGTTCCACATTAGCTTAGTGGGAATAAAATCATGAATTTTGAGCAAGCTTGCTCAAGCAGTGTTGGGGAGCAGTTAAGTTGTGTGTGTTTTTTTGTTTGTTAGTTTTTTGTCTCCAGTAGTGCAACAGTAGCCTTTTTAGCCTTTTTATTTTTATTTTTTTTTACCAGTAACAAGCTACTTCCAAAAACTAGCAGTGTTGCAAATGGCATTGCATGTGGGGCTGCTCCTCTGTCTTTAGCTAAATGACATGTTAATGTTGCCTTCTGGAGGCCTGACACATGAAAATGATGAATATTTATTGCTCTTTCAGAGCACAACTGTGTGGATAAAGCCTCAGTGCAAAACCACCTGAGAACTACAACCAGAATTTAATGTACTGCATGCAATTGTTTTCCTCTATTTATAGCAAAATCACATCCATGTTTATTTATTATATTTATTATAGGACGTCATTTTCTCTGTTAGCATTAAGAAAATGAGTGTTACTGTCCGAGTTAGCCGCATGTAGCTGTGTTTTGCGTTCATTTTCTCTCATTAACAATGTTGCATTCATTAGCAATATGATCTCTGTTCACCCTTCTTATTTAACACACAATTACACACTTAATGTTGCATGAAATTGTGGCTTTAATGACAAAAACAGCGGTAAACTCCAAAGGACACCGTCACTGATAAGGTTAAAGACGAGCTAAATGAAATCTTCAGAGCTGACTGAAACAATGTGTCAATCACCGAGCCCATGTAGATACTGTAGCTATGCAATCAATTGTTAAAAACATTCTTACGTTTGGAAAGACAATAGTAATGTGGCAGGATCATCTATATTCCTGTTATACGCCTCTGTAGAATAGTTGACTCGGATTGTAGCATTCAGTGGTCTAATGTTTTTGAATATTTTCCATTGTTTATCAGTCCGTCAATTCGGGTGAAATTAGCTGAAATTAGTGCATAACTGTCGTATCACTCCACCAACTCATGCACTCTCTCGTTTCATACAAACACAACTAGTGCTGTCTTGTGTTTTAGTTTGTGATTGTTGAGAAAATGATATTGGAGGACTTCATTATTAATATTACTGCAATATTATTGCAATTCTTGTTGCTAGGCAGATTGTACATTAAATTAATGTCAAGTTCCTGATTTTGGAGTGTATTTTTGCGATAATGACTGGAGCATCAAGTGTTTTCATGGTGCATCACGGGAGAGATCAAATACATTTTAAAGCAAATCAGTCGTTCTTATCTGTGTTGATGATTACAAACTTAATTAGGTAGAAGG